TCCACATGTCTGATCCTCTGCTATCGGAGTTACAGATGGCTGTGAGTCACCATATGGGTGCTGGGAATTGAACCTGGTTCCTCTGCAATGTTCTTAACTGCTGAGCTAATTCTTCAGCCCAAGAAATAGAATCTAATCTAATCAGCTAAATCTGAATGGGTGAAAAAAGAATAGAAAGAAAGGAACATATGATGTCTATTATTAAAGCAGTATCTGTAATAGGAAACAATGTAGGGAAGGGAATCCTTAAATATCCACAAATAAGCTGACCATGGTGGCGCACACCTTTAATCCCAGCACTCGGAGGGCAGAGGCAGATGGATCTCTGTGAGTTCGAGGCCAGCCTGGTCCACAGAGCGAGACCAGGACAGTCAGGACTACACAGAGAAACCTTGTTTCACACAAAAAATTCACAAATAATTGAGTCACTAAATAATTAAGATATATTAATGCAATAAAACACCATACAGTTATTAAAAAATCAAGGTATTTATGTAGTGGGGTGAGGAAATGGCAAGGTTACTCACATACTGCAAGTGTATGTGTTTGCCTATGTGTATCTAGAATGTGTATGTGCACATACTGTGTCTTTGGAATAATATACAAGACACTGCACAACAACATTGCCTCTTGTGGGGGAGAATTGAATATTACTGAGAGAAAGGAAATGGGAGATTTTGATGTATAACACATTATTTGGGGAATTTTGAGCCATTAGGATGGATGTGTAATTGGCATGCTTGGAGCAAATGAGGATATTCTAATGAGTCCCTCACTCTGGCAATCTGGACCATTGAAACAAGGCACCCCAAAGAACTAGACTAGACTTCCTCAGCAATCTCAAGCTGGGAGAAGGAGAAGACTGAATGAAGCCTGGTGCCAGCCAGAGAGGGAGGAAAGGGGTTTTGCACAGTGCACACAATTTGTCAGACCATCTTACAAGAGAGAGTGGACCCCAGACAATGGTGATTCAAGGATGGTTGGGACCACACCTTGACCAGGACTGCTTAGTCATGCACATCACTTGCCTTCCATTTAAACCTTACCATCACATCAAGATCCTGAAGAAAGATTTGGCAGAAGATCCTGTAGTTCTCTTTGTCACTCTTCCCAAGGTGCTCACTCCTGTTGCTGCCTTTCGTTAGTAATTTGGCTCTTTTCATTGGCTTATTTAGGATGGGTGGGCAAGCCTAGCTTGTTAGGGCTGCCATGGCAGGGGCTCTGACCCTAATGCAGGCAACAAATGAATTATCTATTTAAACAAAAATCACCTTTGAACTTAAGATGCAATGGAAGGAACTGCTTGACCTGTTGTTGCTCATCCTCGTTCATATCATATGATATGAAATGCCTGTTCATGTTTTATAGTTAGTTCACTCCACATACGTTTCTCTTTCTTAGTACTGAGATAAATATATAGGGCAATATCTTGATTGACAGCTTGGTCCCCTCTACCCCTGCTCATTCCCATTACTTATAATCAAGCTTAAGTAAATAGAATAACATTCTTACATAAACAGAAGCAAGACATTGCCTGTACATCAGTCAGAAGTTCTGAGTTCTCAAAAGTAATTTTTAAAATCTATAAGCCATCAATTGGGAATTATCATAACTTTTTTTTTTGATTCAGGGTTTCTCTGTGTAGCTTTGGAGCCTGTCCTGGAACTCACTCTGTAGACCAGGCTAGCCTCGAACTCACAGAGATCTGCCTGCTTCTGCTTCCCAAGTGCTGGGATTAAATGCGTGTGCCACCACGCCCGGCCCCAAGTTATCCTTCCTAGCTTACAAAACAAACCAGCCATATCTGGAACTGGTCTTATTCTATAATAAGAATATTTTTCTTTATTTTCTACAAGTCACAGATATGAAGAATTCAGCACTTAAAGGAAATTTTTGTCAGAGAGGAACTCTGTAGACAGGAGCGAGGGGACAGAAAGAAATACAATGAATTTCATGTCTCCTGCCTCAAGTCAATTCCCAAATGGAGACCTTAGTAAATGTGGGTATTAGATATTCACATACATGCTCCTGAAAATTGAAGAGCATCATGGTAAATTTTCTATGCCCACAGACACAAACAGAAAAACTACTAAGTTCAACATGGGACAGCTCAAGCTGAGAGACAAAGCTGATGTCTTAGTTAGGGTCTTTAGTGGGAGTTTGGGTTTCTGGGGAAAAAAACACTAGCAGAATAATTGAACCAAATGAATCTTTGCTACCCCTTCCTTCCTCTTTGAGAGGAGCCATGTTGAAATATTTGGACATTTCCAATTTTCACTTACAGTTTCCATCAATAATAGAGAAAGCACACTTGTGCAAGTCAAAGTAACATAGCATTAGAGAACGCATTTAAACAGATGTCAACATAAAAAATATGTAATTCATGGCACTGGTCTCTTTCTTCTACCACGGAAGCTATTTTTATTCAAGGTTGTATATAACAAAGATAACCCCCAAATACATTATCCCTGTTGCAACTGCATATTTGAAATCCTGCCCGCGTTTCCAGGGAACGGAGTGCAGGGCCCTCAAAGCACACAATCCCCAGGAACAACAGGTGCCAGGGGAGGGCTCCAGAACGAGTGTGGAGAAACTGTGCCCTCGGGCACCACACACGAAGGTGCTCATGAGAAGCAGCAGCAGCAAGCCCAGAGCTCTTTCAGGAACTGGAAGGCAGTCTGCAGCGGGCTCACATGACAGAGGAGACAGCTCAGGCCACGCAGGGTACAGCTCTGTAGACCGGGGGCGGCAGGGCAGCATGGTTGACCTAGTTCAGCGTTTGTGGTGGGAAAGCCCAGCAGCAGACAGGTCCATTTTGTGATCCAGAGCTATTTTGATCTTGCATTGTCTGTGCCCAACAGGATGGGGTCCCAGGGGTCTTGTTTCACAACTCTCTTCAGATGCCTCCCGAATCAGACACCCCACCCACACACCGTGAAACGGGCCTCCTGCTTAGGCTCCAAGAGACCACCAGTCAAGCAATGAGGGGACAGACAAGAAAGCTCTGCATCCACACCCAAGCCATGTTTTCAGGAGCGCACTACCAGCAAATGAACAGGAGGGGGCGACCTGGACCAGGACCATGCTTGTAGTGAGCAGCTTTGGTGGCAGGTGGCTTTCCTGGGGCACAGCTGCTCAGGAGGTGTGCTAGGAGCCTCTGAGGCCCTCCCCGAGTTAGGAGACAGCTGCAGTGTTCAAGCCTCAAGTGCCTGGGAGATGCTGGACCATGGCACACCACCGACCGACCGGAAACTTGGAGTTCTGTGTGTGATGTGCAGAGGAGTAGGGAGGCGCATGCTAATTTGGGCCAGGAGCTCCAGCAAGGACAGGAGCCTCTGCCTTGCCTCTGTGCTGAGGTTAAAGAGGCCTAGCAGTGAGCTGTCACTGAACACAGCACTGGCAAGGCACACTGGACCAGGACAAGACGATGTAGGTGTGTGTGCACAAAATCCTCCTTCAATGTACATCACCCAGCCAAAACGTGGATCACTGGGCTCAAAGGGACTGTGGGTGGGTGGGTGGGGGGCAGGGGAGGCCACCTGCTGGGGAGGACTCCACCAGCTGCTGTTGGGAGACAAGACAGGGTCCCTCAGTCAGCCAAGGCAGCCTGAGGCACGAACTGTGATGGCTGTGTGGTGTGGCAATAATTATCATAGGCCACTGGCTTTATCCAGTTTCCCAGAACCTTGGAGATGGTCAGTATCCACTCCTGGCTGGACAACTTCCCAGAGTTGGTCCAGGGGCCTGGCAGGCACCCCAGTATACTGGTCACCACGGAATGCTGCTGGGAACAGGGTACAAACAGGAGAGTTGGAACTCAAATGGTGCATGGAGGCAGAAGAAGGGATGAAAGCTCTGGAGAGATGCACGGAGGAGAGCAGGCTGAAGGCAGGGCACTGTGCACACAGACCACTGGTGCACAGGGCACAGTGACCCAGAACAGCACCCCAGGGACATCCAGCAGTACATGACACCTGTCCTGCAGCAGCAGCAGCAGCAGCATGGCGTCACAAGGGGAGCACTCACAAGGGGAGCACGTGTGCCCCCTGCTTTGCCATGGCTTTGGGAAGGTGTCTGCTGCCCCACACATGGCAACCATGCAGGGAAGCTAGCCTGGGTGAGGCAGGAGCTAAGGGAAGTTGGGAGAGGTTTGGAAATGGGCAGGGTGTGTTGCGTGTGTGTGTGTGTGTGTGTGTGTGTGTGTGTGTGTGTGTGCGTGTGCGTGTGCGTGTGCGTGTGCATGTGTGTGTGTGAGTTGGGCAGGCCTGGACTCATGACTCAGTGCATAGGGGCCTCCTCTTCCTCGCAGGGGTATGCGGATCTCAGAGACAGCATGGCTGTGTGGATCTCTGCAGGCCAGTCATGCACAGCACTGACAGCATCCTCCCCTCTGTCCTTGTGGGGGTTCCTGGAAGCTCCACCTCTAGGAAGGGCTAGGGAAGAAAGGAGGTTCCCCAAAAGTGGAGCAGCTGCCAACCCTCTCACCCTGCCAGGAAGCAGTGCTTAGGATCCCAAGGAAGGAAAGGAGGCAGGAAGTGGTTTGACAGCACCTTAAGGGGACAGATAGACATGGACCTAGCAGGGGCCGGCCAAGTGGTAATCCCTCCTGGGAGAATCCTCTGCCAGATGGGCACAGGTGGGTGACAGAGCCACTGCGGGATGCACAGAGAGAAATGCCATGGGCTGGAGCCTTCAGCCCAAGGAGGCCAGTCAAGAAGACCTCTTGCTTAAGGGCTTCCTGTACTCAGGGCCCCAGGGTGCCTGCTTCAAGGGTGTTGTCTCCTCTACTTCCCTACCCACACCTTAAATCTACCCCTGCCCCCACCCCTCCCCTGTGCCTGTTTATCCTGAGCCCAGCAGTCCCTTTCTGCCCCTGCCTCCTGGGAGCACTGGTGAGTGCACCTGTCAGGGAGCAGGGGCCCCAGACAGCTGGACTCTGTGGTGTATTGTGTCTCCCTGTTTGTGCAGACCGCGAACTCAAAGATGAGTCCAGTGCCCCCTTTTCATTTTCTTGCCAATCAAAGCACACGAGTTTATTGATGATACACACAGGTGGGGGCTCGGGTGGAAGAGGGTCAGTCGGTACATCGGACAGGAGGGGAGTGTATTTTTTTGATTAACATGCTAGCCATTCATCAGCTAGTGTAGAAAAGAGGAGAGAGAACTACTTCAACCAAAGCAGAGGCAGCAGATGCAAGCTGGCCACAAGCTCCCATGTGGGTGTCATTTCTGCTAAGTGGTCCCGCTTAGACAGGGAGATCACCACAGGCAAGGACAGCACTCGTGATGCTGTGATTTCATGTTCCTCATCCGCAGCTAGCGGCCAAAGGGGTGATCCCTCCACCCTTTACTGCAGGAGGGAGGCTGCAAGGGAGCAATTTGCAATGCGTTTCACCTGCAGACTACAAGGCCCAGAAGTTGCCCAGGGCTCTGGGGAGGCCTGCCTGGCCAAGAAGAGTGCGGCCCTCCATTTAGCCACTGGAACTTTCGCCCAAGGAGGAGCTCGCTGGCTAAGGCTGCACCCTTGCCTGCACCCTCTGCAGCTTCTTTCCCTCCCTCAGTAAACTGCTCGGGCTGTGGGTGGATTCGATCTCCTTCTGCTCAAGACAGCCACTTATGGGGAGAGGGCTTCCAGGAGCATCTCTCTGCTCCCACTTCTGATAAAGGGGAGCATGGATGAGGACAGCATTTGGGCAGCCAGCACTTCCCCTGCCAACACTGGCTTTTCAGGCAAACCCATCAGTGCTTCCAAACCCTCAACCTTTGCACATTCCCTTCCCTGGGATATCAAAGGAAACTTTGGGTCTGAAACCGACTTGGCAAGCATGTTATTAATAACTGTCATGCTTATTAGCAGATCTAATCCGGCCTGCTGCAGAAATGACTTGCAGCAACGTAACACGGTCTCTCGACACACTTCATCGATGCACATCTTAATCTGGCCCTGATTTCCCATACTGGTGTTCGGATTTTCCGGGACACACAATGCCTTCTCCCTCACAGTGGGCTGGGGGTTGGGGATCCGGTTTCCAACCACTGAGAGGCTGGCTAAATGCCTACTGACATTGTGGCTAAGGGAAAAAACAGCATATGTGGGCTTGGTGAACATTATTTTTTTTCCTTGAATGGAAGCACACTTGGTCAGGTCAAGAGCACAATTGAAGGATTTAAAGCTTTGAGCACCCCATGTATTTTTATGTTCGTAAGGGAATGGTCGTTGTTTGGTTGGGTGTGCTCTGTTTGCCTTTCCACCACCTGAATGTCTGTCCTCAGTCCCACCTGGGGCCCCAGGTTCATCCCAGACCCCATCCTCACTCCAGGGCCGAGCCATTGTTGTGAAATCAAACCAATTGTCTGCCTCCTCTTCATCCAGATTCTGCTCATCATCCCATTCATCTTCCTCCTCATCCTCCAATTGGTTACTTCCATGTCTTCCCATGGTTAGTTTGTACATGCAGTAGCAGGCACCAGCCCCAATCATCAGTCCTGCTGCCATCCAACCCATTTCCCGGGCCCGACCCATACTTAGATGGGTGTGAGCCTTTGGGCCAGAAAGGAGAGGGTCTTTCTTCACCTGATTGAAGTGAACTCTCAGTGGTTGTGTGAATAACGGTGCAGGCCAGTAATCTTCAGCCTCTCCTAGGCTTCTGTGATTCTTGTGATGACTCTAAGGGTGAGAGAGAGAGAGCGCATTAGGGCTCTGAGCTGTGACTGGGTTCATATCTGCCCAGACAGATGAGTTCGAATTCTTGTAGAGAAAGTTGGATTATTAGGTAATGATTTCATTGTTCTTCTCTGTCTTCCCATATCTACCCTCAGGATCTACTTTTATGCTTCCAGGATTCTCAGAGTCAGCCAGGAGAGATGACTGTGATGTGATTGGTGGGCAGGTGACAGAGTCAGCTAACCTCATGCAGTCTCCTTTACCACCCACCTACTTTCTCTCCTCCTCCTCCTCCCCATCCAAAAATCATAGCATGTTTTCTAACCAACCTCTCAAACATCAAGTGAATTCCTTTTTCTTCTGATGTCTTCTGCTGTATTCCCTCCACGGTGATAGATGGACCGAGCCTGGCCAAAGGACAATCGAAAAGCGATGTAGATAGCAATAGAGAACTGAAAGTGTAGTTGGACAGATCTAACTACACTGATAGGAGCTTTTCTGAATTTGGGAGTTTTGAGTAAAAATAATTTCTCACACCCTCCCTACTTTGCTAACGAGGGCCTCCCCGCCCCCTCCTCGTCCGCCATTTCCCCAGCAAAGGCCGCCACACCCCTTTCCCTGCACCGAAATGGGAGGGGGTGTGGAGAAAGAAGGGGCCAGGAGAGGGCGACTAGGACCTGGCCCGCAAAGATCCCAGCCCCCTCTTCTTCCACCCCCTCCTTAGGTTCGGAATGAATCCCACCTTCAAACCTGCAGCAAGGTTCCAATCAAAGCGCTTTTCTCCCTCTCTAGCCAAGGCTTGAGCTGAGACCTAAAGACCTGCAAACGGACAGGGGACTGGGGGTTGGGGGTGGGGGGGCGGAGTGCTTCGGTGGACTGACCAGCACCCAGGACACGGTGACCGGATTGTGGATTCTTTCTTTGCTTGGATTTTGTGCAACTGCCGTTCACCCCTCCTCACCCCAACCTGAAGCCCGCCACTTCTCCCTATTAAAAGAACCGAGGGTGGGATGTGGGTCGGGGGATAGGTATTTAAAAAGTAGGTGAGAAAGGGACATAGCCCTTATCTGCGGAACTTGAACGCGCTATGCTCTTGGCCCTTTCCCACCCCATCACCTTCCAAGCAGCTTCCACCGACCTGTGCGGTCCCAGCGAGTTTCCTTCTCCTTCACGCGCCTGCAGAGTAATAGGGGGTTGGTACCCAGTCGGAGGCGACTAACAGGACTTCGGCTCTAGGCGGCTCTCGGTCACGTGACAGCCACGTCACCAGTGAGCTCTAGCCCCCAATTTCCACTCCCACAAGCAGTGCGGCAGGCGCCAGTAGACTCCGTACCTCCCCCAATACTTGGGGCCCTGTTAGTCTTTTTCTCTACAACAATACCAGAAACCAGAAGTTACCGTTTCTTGTGTTTGAGTTTGACTTTCTCGAATTACCATGCATTCACACTTTCTCCTTGGGAGAACTGTCTGGTCCTTTCGTTGACTTTCAAACTCCTGCATCCATTTCTTTAATTCTATCCCTCTTTATTTTCAGTCTCAGTATCAAAGTTGGGGAGAGGGAGCAGAAAAAGGAATCCTAGATATGAGTGGAATTTGTATTAACACTTTTGATCCATTTATGTTTTATTTCATCTCTACTATTTGATAGACTATCATTTTGTAATCATAAGACAAAATGAAGCTATTTCTACTTGGATAAATAAACAAATTCCAATCTTTTAAATTTTATGTAAATAAGAAATTAAGATTTTTTTCCAGTTGATAGCGAGATCTCACTGATTTGGCAAAGTTAATTAGTACAATACCAAAAGTATTTTCTTTTAAATAGCAGCTGTAAAATAGCATCTTACAGTTTTTAAAACATATCCTTACAAACAAAACCAGCATGCTTTGAGTATGATCGACGAAACATAAATGGATCAGTAATGAGGTCAGTGTTCAAGTTTTGACCATTTTAGATGTGTGAGCCATTTATTTGCCCCCTTTTTTTAGCCTGAGTGAACTCACAGGTGTCAGATGATTGAGATCTTGTACAAGGTTCAATAATGACTTTCAGTCTTACCCAAAAGATAGATTTTATTCAGACACCAATTTAGGTTTTAGATAAACTTTACAAATTAGTGACATCACAGATTACCTGCTTTTCAAAGGGATTTACATTCTGTACTATAGTTTCACGATGGGACCCATGAACCACCCTGAAATTAGGGGTCTCTCTGCTATCACATTGATGAGAGTTGTACTTGACAGGTGAAGATATCAAAGACTAGTGAGGTCTCCTTAGTTCTGCCATTCATGTACTGTATCACTGTATCATAAATGATGAATCTGCAGCATTTTCCACTGACAATGGGGATGAGGGTCTGTGGATGACTGTAGATTGTCAACACACTGGTGACATCAATTTCTTTCCCCTCTCATAGGTACAAGAACGAAATACAGGATCTCAAGTAGTCCCCAGGAGAAAAGAGGCCTTTTCACTCCCTGCCTTTCCTAGTAACTTTACTGTACCACCCTCACAAACCCCTCAGAACTCAGGGACAAAATATGCAAGAGTGAGTCCCCAGCCGCCACCTGTTCACTGCTGGGAGTCATACTCTAAATATAGACCCCCCCCAGGCTGCTTCCTTCTTAGAATATTGAAATTTGAGTCGCCAGCCAGCCGGAGGCCCTCCCTGTGAGGGGCCCTGTGTGGAGGAGGCCCTTGCAGGAGGTGAGCCTGGGAGTGCTTAATGCCTTGTTGGCAAATAGAAGAACATATCACTCCTCTCCGGTCTTCCTAACAACCAGGCTCTTTTATCAATACCATGTCCCATTTTCCCCACCTCTCTACTTTGTTTGCTTTGCCACCGTGCCCTTATGCTGTCTTTCTGTGATTGTCTTAGATAAGTGAATTCTATCTCCGAAAACTTAGGAACAAACCACTCCGATTAAACTGTGATTTTAGCTTTTGGCTACTATGAACTTACACAAGAGACTCTTGTTTATTTTGAATATAAACATGAGGAAGAACTAAGAAATATGCAGAGCTTAATAAAGGCAGGTGATTGGTTCAGCAATGTGAGTGAGCTCATTTTCACATTTTATCAAGTTTCAGGGACAAAAGCTTCACGCCTCCTTCTCTTCATTGCTACAAAATGTTTCTCCCCTTTGGTATATCATCCAGTCATTTCAGTACAAAACACAGAAGAAAGCACCAGTCTCTCAGTTTATCAGAACCTTCTAGTTTTAATCCACGCCCTGTCTAAAACTTCCTAAAGAATGAACCTTCTCAGTTCTTTTACGTCGTTGTCACTTTAATTCATAGTCCTTACCAACAAGCACAGGGGCTGTGACTTAAAACCACTTGGTTCTCCATTATATGCACCCACAAATGCTTTTTAGAGGACATAGTAGACATCTGATACATGATCTTAAAAGTGAAAAAGGAAAATGCTTAAGTGCCCAGGCAAGTCTGTTTAATGTTTTCAGAACCTGTAAAAACAAACAAAAAAAAGGCTTGTGAAGTCACTTCCCAAGGAAACCTTTTGGTGGCCATGCATAACACATGACCTAAAAGTATCCAAAACTAAAAATGCATCAGTGGTTGGTAACACTATGGATTATGGAGGGGGATGAGAGAGAAGGTTGGCATTTGAAAAGCTATAGTCCTTTGGATACTGTGTTCCCTGATGAGGTATTGTAGTTTAGTCAAGCTGTCTCATTGCAAGCAGCTTATCCAAGTTTGGTTAACATAGAGAATAAATACTACAGAACAAGGTCAGCTTTTAGGGATCTAGGAAGGAGAAACTGACAGATGATTGTTTCACATAAGTTTACCTGGTTTGGGGTTTTTATCTCCTTGCTTGAGATTGAAATTTTAGCAGGAGAGCTTCTGTGTGGTGTGTTTTGGGCACAGTGCCCATCTTTTTGCTAGGGAAATACAGAGTGTGTTAAATGTGAAATGCACTCACCCCCTTCCTTTCGTATGAAGTGTAAATTGCTTGAAATGGTGATTTATTTTGAAAATTGTTACTTTACTTTTTATTTATGTGATATGTGTGTTCCTGTTTGTCAGTGTGGCACCTTATGCAGTTAAGGTAAGAAAAAGGGGTCAGATCCCTGGAACAGATGTTAGAGGCAATTGTGAGCCACACCCCCATGTGGGTGCTAGGAACTGAACTTGGGTCCTCTGCAAGAGCAATGAGTATTATTGGACACTTAATCCACATCCCTAGTCCTAATGTATAGCATTCTTTAATTATTTTGCATAATGAGCCTTTGTTTAGCTGTCACTGAGATGCTGGGAACCTGCCTACCACAGCACACCTGAGTCGTAATTTCTCCATTACCTTTGATCATTAGAAAGATACAATATGAAATGACAATGCGTTATGTTATCCTTGGAACCAAAGCCACCTGACTTCCCTGACAGGATTCCATAGGGTTGCATATACAGTTCAGGGTGTTGTCTTGAGTGTTGCACCATCTACCCCAGATTTTGTCTGTAAACAGAGAGTGGATGCTTCTGCCAGTGATAGACTCTCATTCAGCGATACATATATAAACCAAGATTTGAATGGTGAACTCACCAGGCTCTCTCTGTGTTCTCTTTTTGTTAAATATGCTACAATGAAAGCTATGTTCCAACAGGAGTAAAAACTAATTGACCTTGAGAAGTACAAGAGTCAGGGGGTAGAAGGGCTTTCTGTCTGTCTTACCTGTCCATTCTCTCCCTGCAGGCAGGCTCTGGCTTGGGAAGTCACAGCTTCAGAAGATTGCTTAATGACCCTAGAATCAGAGCAAAGGTATTCATTCATCTTAAGAAGTGACTTTTAGCTTAGGAAGTTTGAAATATTCTTATACATTATGGGGATGGTTTTTCCCTTCACCTTAGCCAGAACTTCCTCTCTTCTGGACAGTGCTTGACGGGAACGGTTCACATTTTCCTCTGAAGCCCTTTTTGTGTGTGAATAAGTCTCTTTGTTACACTTGGTCTTTCTCTAAATACAGAGCCATACAGTTGATTTGGCTCAGTTTGTTAAATTCAAAATCACATCTCAGTTGTGCTTTCTAGGAGCTACAGTGGTACAAATTTTCCCAGAGATTAGCTTGTTCCTAAACTCTCTGTACTCTTGATTTACTCCCGTGTTTTCTGTGGATTTTGAAACCTGTACTCAGACACCAACCTTGTTTCTAAACTACTAAGAAAGTTCTCCCTGAAAAGCTCATATTTAGGAAAGCTATATCACACACTGTATCGTGGTATTTGCTTTTGTAGTATGTATTAAGTTAGTCTTGTTGGGCAACCAGCAACTGAAAACAAGCCTGGTTCACTTAAACAATGAGAGAATGTAATTACTTCAGCCCCTTTTCTGTCTTTGAAAGTTAAAATTGCAAGTGAATTATTGTGCTCATCAAGCTAACCAGTGCCCTAATTGCTAGATGCCAAGTTCAGTCAAGTTTGTGTTAGTCTTTGTGTTCCTGTAATACTACTGCATTTGCAGAGTTTGTTCTCTGTTTGTACCCCAGTAGATTTCACAATGTTTTTTGTGTATCAGTGTGTGTACCTTTTTATCTGACAGACTTAATTTCTCCTCGATCTTTTCTGTCTTTGGAGAGCCCAAGCCTCCTCCTGGTTAACTTGTGCCCTTCAAAGCCTGTTGCTTAGTCACAAGATTCACATAGTCTCGGGCAGGCCGATTAGTTCATTCAGCTGTGTTATGTGATAGGCCCCCGAAGACATTAAAACTCCTTTGAGTAAAGCAGGTGACACTTTCCGGTAAGTGAGAAATGTGGGACTTTTAGAGACCATCACCCAACATTGATCTCCCACCTCTATTCCTATTTTTCCCCCTCATAAATAGGATGCAGGCTGTGAGCAGGGGAAGCCAAGGTGAAAACAGCCAAAAAAGTATTTAAAAAGTAAAAGATACAGTCTTATTCCAGCTTTCCTTTTCTGGTGGCTTGTTCATTTCAGGTCTAGGACTATATGTCAGAGGAAATGGTAGATATTCATAGCAGGGAGGAGGGGAGGGAGAGGGAGAAGCTGCTGTCCCAGGAGTCTAGGAAAGAAAGAGTCAATTAAAAAAAGTACAAGTGGCCAGTAGCCCCAGGGGAGGATGCTGTCCTGTTTTGGTAATTGGAGGAAGGGAAACACAACTAGAGGAAAATGGGATTAGCCGCAAAGAAAGAGTAACAAGGCCTAGTATGGGGGAGGGAATGAAGGGGGGCGGGTCCTCTTCTGCCGCACTGCTGGTGGGAGGGGAAAGTGGGGATCCGAGTTGGTGGATGACGTCGCTCTCACGTGACCAAGAGCTGACGTGTGCAGAAGTCCTTCTTGTCCTGGTCGTTGTTCCCGTCTGAGTACCAGCTCCCTATTACCCTGAGGGCGGGCGGGCCTGCAACCGAGGAAAGAAGGAGGCGGAAAAGAAATTGTCCCGGATCCCTGCAGGTCAGTACCTGGGATATTCCATAAAGTGGGGGTGGTGGAGAGTGGAGGGCGGAGGCCGTCGCAGGTCCGGGGGCGCCGACGTCGTCTCTCCCACTTGCCAGCCTCTTTCCAAGATATACGTCCCGCCCGCAGCCCATTTCGATGCTGCAAAACAGTGAGTAGGGGGTGTTTGGGCAGGCGCCCAGAAATCAGGAGATGAGAATCTGCTGCGAGCTGAGGCCCGCAATCCGGAAAGGGAGCTGTGGCCTGGGTGTTGGCCCCTGGTCCACCAGGACTGTGCCGGCGGGGGAAAAACTGGACATGGGGTCCGGCGTGGTGGGGTGCGATGTGATGTATCAGCCGAACCCTGAGCCAGATATCGGGCGGGAAACCTTTAACAACCAGGCCTCCGAATTAGGAAAGAGTTTCGTTCTCTGGGGACTGGTCCGTCCACCAAGCACTCTGTAGCGGCTGTTTCCCGTCTTTCTGCCTGTGGCCGTGTCTTCTTTACCGTGGCTCTGTGTCTAGTGGGTCCAAGTCTCTCCCGGGTGCCCAGTCTTTCCGTAGGTTGTGGTACCACGCCAGGCAAGAGAAGAGGAAGGAAATTAACCAGATCGGTGAAGGTCGATTTGAGGGTAAGACCATCTGGGGACCCTAGGAGCGGCGGGGGTAGAGAAGGGGGAAAACCAGAAAAGGTAATCTAGGTTTAGATTTGAGTCTAAATGTGTTTCTCACACTCCCCGAACTGTGGAGAAATGGCGTGCGCTGTGTGTGTGTGTATGTGTGTGTGAATGTGCTCTCAGGGGTGGGGGCGGGGGGCGGGATGACAGCAGGGAAACCTATCAGATAGTTTGTTCATAATCCTTTTCTCTCAACAACACTTAGTGTCCATGTTTTCGATCTGTCATCCTGCAGGTCTGCTGTAGCAGGTGGCACTGCTTGAAACAAGGGAGGAACTTTCCCCGGATCAGCAGAGGTCGGTGTGGGCGTGGGGGCAGCCTGGAATGGGGGAGGGGTTAGAAATCAGTCTGGGTTTGGCCAGGCTCACTCAATCCTACTTTGTTTCCTTACATCCACCCATTTCAGACTAGGGAGGGGGCTAAGTCTGTGCATGTTTTGATGGATGGCACAGTGAGGTTTAGCAAAAATCCGACATGGTAAATTAGGAAAGCATAAAATATACAGTCCATGCAACAAGCTCTCATTTTTTCACTGTTTCTGGTATCTCTGCAGATCAAAAAGATTATTGGGTGTGGCAATACTTCACAGGAAAGGAAGAAGGGGCCAACTGCTTGCTTCCAGGAGGTTAGTGTAAGGTTGCTTATCCCATGGGGTACCACAGGAGCATGTGACAGATGAGAGCCCGGCAACATTTGTGGGTGCCGTTCACTTTGTGCTTAGCGGCAAGAGTGAACTGGGGATGGGAGCAGGGCGGGGTGGGTGGGGGGGAGAAGAGGCATGTAGGGAGAGAGTGAAATGAGGGAGATAGAGGTTTTTTTGTCGACAATCTGTATTCCCTATCCAGAATTCAATTACTACTTTCTTGCTCCTCTGGGGCAGCACACAGAGAAGAGAAAGCCAAACCCTCTTTTCTTCTTCCATTTCTAGGTTGACCTCCAGAACCAGTTATTGTAGTAGCCTTGAAGTGACTGAAGAAGATCATTCTCCACAGGCCTGCCCTCAGGCCCATAGCCGGCTCCCCCTATTTTGAGTGACTACTCTGTTTCTTGGTCCCTGCCGTTGTCAGGGACGATTGCATGGGCTACGCCAGGAAAGTAGGCTGGGTGACTGCAGGCCTGGTGATTGGGGCTGGAGCCTGCTATTGCATTTACAGATTGGCCCGAGGAAGAAAGCAGACCAAGGAGAAAATGGCCGAGAGTGGTTCTGCCGATGTGGAGGATGCTGGGGACTGTTCTGGGGCCAGGTATAACGACTGGTCTGACGATGATGACGACAGTAGTGAGAGCAAGAGTATAGTTTGGTACCCACCTTGGGCCCGGATTGGCACTGAAGCAGGGACCAGAGCCAGAGCCAGGGCAAGAGCCAGGGCTACGAGGGCTCGGAGAGCTGTCCAGAAAAGGGCTTCTCCTAACTCAGATGACACTGTTTTGTCCCCTCAAGAGTTACAGAAAGTACTTTGTTTGGTTGAGATGTCTGAAAAGCCTTATATTCTCGAAGCAGCTTTAATTGCTCTAGGTAATAATGCTGCTTATGCATTTAACAGAGATATTATTCGTGATTTGGGTGGTCTCCCAATTGTTGCAAAGATTCTCAATACTCGGGATCCCATTGTTAAGGAAAAGGCTCTAATTGTCCTAAATAACTTGAGTGTGAATGCAGAAAATCAGCGCAGGCTTAAGATATACATGAATCAAGTGTGTGATGACACAGTCACTTCTCGACTGAACTCCTCTGTGCAGCTGGCTGGACTCAGATTGCTTACCAATATGACTGTTACTAATGAGTATCAGCACATACTTGCTAATTCCATTTCAGACTTTTTTCGTTTATTTTCAGCAGGAAATGAAGAAACCAAACTTCAGGTTTTGAAACTCCTTTTGAATCTGGCTGAAAATCCAGCCATGACTAGAGAACTGCTTAGGGCTCAAGTACCATCTTCACTGGGCTCCCTCTTTAATAAGAAGGAGAACAAAGAGGTCATTCTGAAACTTCTGGTAATTATCGAGAACATCAATGACAATTTCAAATGGGAAGAGAATGAGTCTGCTCAGAATCACTTTAGTGAGGATTCGCTTTTTTTCTTTTTAAAAGAATTTCAAGTGTGTGCTGATAAGGTTCTGGGAATAGAAAGCCACCATGATTTTCTAGTGAAAGTAAAAGTTGGAAAAGTTGCAGCCAAACTGACTGAGCGGATGTTTCCCCAAAGCCAGGAATAACGTGGTGGCTTTGTAGTATAGCAGCAGCACACCTTGTAAACTATTCCTTTTCTCCACCTTGTTTATATGGCGAAGGAATCCTTTTGGCTGCCAATTTTGAATAATGAATATCATACTGTATCATTGATACTGATATTTAACCGAGTTTGTCTTCAGATTTCAGTTGGTTGAATGAATATCACTACTTGTCCTGAAAACATGTTTGTTGCTTTTTATCTTGATGCCTAGATTGAAATATTTTTACTGTTTCCTCTGCTTAAGTGACAGTGAACCAGTTCATCCTAAGTAGGCTCCTTTCTGCCATTTGCATCAATTTTATTTGTGCATCATCAATAAAGATTTATGTTCATGCCGGAAAGAAAGAATAGAAGAAGAAAGAAACTATCCTATCCTTCGGTTTATAATCTAGTTGTAGAGATAAAAAACATACAAACAAAAAACCCACAAACTAGATCCCAAGATTATTTGGAGCCTACATTCTGTCAGATGTGTGCCCTCAGAACATAGAAGAGGCACAGGCTTTGATGACTGCTCCGTGAGTCAGTTAAAGCTCCAGGGAGGACAGAGCCACTGAAAGGGAGTCCTGAATGGGGGAGGGAAGTTAGTGCATTCTGTGAGACCAGAGTCGAGAGGAAATGATGTGAGAAAGGCATTAATTTAGGAAACCTTATGGTAGTCAAAATAGCCTTCTTAGAGTGGAGAGTGTGGGAAATAGGATTCAATAAGTCTGGAAAACTGTGTGAAGCCCTTTGCAGAAGGCTTGTTGAATGTATTTTTAACTAGGAAAGAATTGGGGGGTCAATATAAATGTCCTCCCCACACTCTGTCATCAAGGATGGTATAGCAAAATGCATCCTTTCCAACTCTGGTGGTGGGCATTTGGCAATACATATCATTAAGCCTTAAAATATGCAAACCTTTTGTCCTAAGGAGATAACTGAATAATTGGCCAAAGACTGAATGCACAAGGCTGTTCTTGTTAGCACTGTCTTAAGGTAGTTAACATTGGGAACAACTTCAGTGTTCAACACACTGAATTGACTAAGTAGTTCAAAGAATGTCCATGCTGTGTGATAAATGTACTGATGGAACTCAGTATTGCTAGAAAAAGATACTCATCAAACATTGCTAAGTGTGCAAGGTAAGTCAGATAGCAGTATTTAGAGTATGATCACATATGGGGGGGGGTTAAATCATGTTTAAAAATACACTAAAATCTATGGAACTATATACACCCAGTAGTACTAAGAGTTATATTTGGATGAAAGATAACGAGCGATACTTTTTGTACTTGTTATTCATTTATGTTTTCTTATTTATCAAAAATAAATATTGATTTTAAAGAAAGGTTTGGAAAAAGAAAAGTATGGGGAAAGCAGCAGGTGATTAATTTGAACATGTATTGAGTGGAAAATATTTAGGTCCCAAATGAGGTGGTTGGATACCTCCACTCCAGAATGAGAGATGATGGGGCAGATAAGGCTGACTGTGAGATTTGAACTAGAGGTTTACGCAAAGCAGCTACACTATTCTTGCATATAGCAGCAGTTAATTAAGAAGTGTGAGTACCTTTAAGTACCCAGAATGTAGTGTTTATGGGTTTTGATTAACTTTTGTTTTGCTGGGGCATTCTTCTATGTTTCAGTGTCATTTAATAAATAATAAGAATAAGAATAATAAAGGTTAACATTTATTAAGTGATTACCGTGTAGAGTTCTGTCATTCCTGCAAGGAACCTGTGGAAATAATTTCTCAAGTGTCCCAGGACTATAAGGATCACCTCAGTCATGATCTCTCCTGCCTTCATGACATTTTCCTCACTGATGTGAGGATGCTACCTTGCTTTCTGTGTGACCAGGAAATGGTGTGGTCTTCTGTCTAGTTATGATTTAGGTTGGCTCCAGGTTTTTACATATGTATTCTAATGTTTGTAGTAGGCCCAGGGCATGGTTGGCTTCATGTTGTTGGCTATGGTAACCCTACTAAGTCCTTCAGGACGTATAGGAACTCATTTGATAGCACTTTAAAGGATGACATGATAGGAAATGGAGTGAAAAATTTTCTCGCCCCTGCTAAGATAAAAAGGATTGTTATGACCAGGGCAGGAGCAGATCCACTTAAAATAAATGGAATTTGAAGTGTTTGTGTGATATTCAGATACCGCGTTGTCATTTGAATGAATTAATTCTGCTTTCAGTGAAGATGTCCGGGCTGCAAATAACAATTTGAGCGAGCTGTCAGAAGTTAGATGAAAACTGAGGACGGGCCTGGATGCAGTCTATGGAGGGCTGCCTAAAAGAACTAGATAAGAAACTAGCGGCTGGGGAGAGAAACACAGAATTTAGACAGCCTATTTTATATTTTCTTATAAAAAAAAAACCAAAATAACTGTTCTTCAAGCTGCTTGAGAAAATAGAGGCAATGTGCAGAAAGTTGTCCCTTAGCTCAGTTACGTACAATGAACACACACATGGGCACTCAGATCAAGCCATGCCCAGCTTGAGCCACCCAGGGACTTGTTTGTACCTGGGCAGCAAAGAAGACTAAATGAAGTAATGAGAAGGCCCACTGTGGCAGGCACACTCCTGCCTGGCATCATCTGCTGCTTTTCTCCGTGTTACTCCTTGTTCCTTTCCTCCTTCTCTCCCTCCGT